GCGCACATGCAAACGTGCTCGATGCAAGGAGAGATGCGACTCGATCATGGGCCATCGCATGTGCTCGAGGTGCGGCTGTAGCCCGACAAACCCGCGAGAGACTATGCACGAGATGCTCAAGCGTCGGCCCGACGCGGAGCCAGTCCAGATCATGCCGATTCCAGACGCAGCCTCACTTTCGCTGGACGAAGCGATCACGCATCCGTTCTGGAGCACCAATGAAATCGAGGATCAATGTAGTCACCAAGAAGAAGAATCCATTGTCCAAGTCGGGCCTGGATCGAGTTCGCGTGATTTTTCCCAGTCTGTCGATCGGTCCAAGTTTGCACGACCACGCGGTGGACAAAGAATCTCGCGTGCAAATGGTCGTGGTAAAGATCCCCGAAGATAGTCATCATTTCGCCAGCGAAGGTGATTGGCGACTGACCTCATTGAGCGACAAGCTGCGCGGGAAGAGTTTCATGCCGTATCACATCCGCAAGATTGTGGGGCTGCTGAGGATCCAATCAGGATTGGATTTACGCAAGCATCACCGCAATGGAAGCCGACACTACAGAACCTGCAAAGTGGCTCCTCTATCTCGACGTCTTCCGGAGATCACACTTTGAGCACTCGAATATCCAGGACGTCATCCACCCAAAGATCATTGTCAAATTTTGAAAGAGCATGCAAAAAAGGACGATCAGGAGGATCAAGACGAGGGCAAGGACATAGAGGCTCCCGCCATGAAGGGCGATCAGTTCCACGATCACGAGGGTTGCAATGATCCTCTGCTCGCACGAGCCGGAGTCGCAACCTCGTCGCTTCCTTTTTTGCCGTCAAATCGCTGCGATTCCTGTTCAAGCTACATAAGCGACCTGATGTAAGACACGAAAAAATCTCGCACCATTGCGATCTTGCGCAACACCCACATTGAAAGCGAGAAAAGACTTGGGAGAGTGAAACGGATCCTGCTGGAACACATGCAAAGTGACAAAGGAACCCAAACGAAAACGTCTCCCGAGCAGAGACCCATACAAGAACAGAATGATACGCACGGCGCCCACTTCCCATCTCTTCGGTTGCTGGGCGGAGATGGATGATCTCCATACATGTCTGTTTGCCGCATTCGCAGAGCAAGACCTTCTTGTTGTCGCGGAAGCTCACCTTCAACATGACAACGTGGCGCTCGTCAAGTTGGCCGGCTCGTCACCGACTTGTCATGTGCACACAGCCGTTGCATACCCTCAAATGTGTTATTAGTATGTGTTATTATTAAATACAATCACGCGGCCGTCCAAGTCGCCGGTGACGAGCGTGTCGTCGAACAGCTGCAGCTGTACCACCAGCGACGTGTGGTCATAGAAGAGCGCAAGGTAGCCGCCCGTGCTCGCCGACCACATGCGCACCGTTGAGTCGCTTGCCGTCAAACGAAACCGCGTAGATGAAGAGGGGTGTCCGCACAGCGTGTGCTAGCGCAGGTATTCGTTTCAACTTTCCAGGTGCGACACGTGCAGTCGTGCCTGCCGGATGCCACATGATTGCCCGCCACGTCGATGGACCGCGCTCCATGATGGTGAACGACAGACAGATGCACCATCTTGCGCTTCTCGACGTTCCACACGCGCAGTATAGAGTCTCGCGAGACCGACACGGCGATCTGCTTGCCATGAAGCACCTCGAGGCAACGCACCGTCAAGGTATGGCCGAGCAGCACGTGCTTGCACTTGCCCGACGCATGTCGCAAACACGCACGTTGCGGTTGCAGCCACCGCTCACGACAATCGCGTCTTTGTTGCCAAACCGCGCACGCTGCCGCACCGCTTGTCTATGCCCGGCGCATTGCACGCAAGCTGCGCCTTGGTGGTCTAAGTAGACTGCCGGCTCGGCCAGCTCGTCGGTAATAAGTGCCGTCGGCCATGACTGCATCTCGGCGCCGCCTTCAGCGTCTGCGACAGCCTGGGTGTTTTCGCGATCGGGTCGAGCCCGGGTGGAGGAGCGTAGCTCTCGGCAGACGAAGGAAGGGCGTAAGAGACGATGCAGATGTCAGCGTCAGAGTTGCCTGCACCGGACGCGAAGGCGTCGCGTTGCAAATTTCGCTGGACAGACGATGCAGCAGGAGAATCGCTGGGATGACCTGCTATGGTCAAAGCCACGACTCGTCTCGCACCCTGCTGTCGTGTTAGGACAAAACGGGGTTTGTGGAGCCATTGGGAACCTTGGTACAGCCATAGGTCTGATGAATTTTCCCCGAGGCCGGCGTGCTTGATACCGTGGATGGCGGGACGCGACCTCCAAAGGAGTCTGGTGCATCGGACAGCTCGATGAATGAGTCGGGTGGAGGAGCGCTTTGGCGGGATTGGAGCGTGGATCGTGATGAACGCGGAGCAAGGCAACATTGGCAGCCGCTTGGTGCGGCTTGCCGCCGCTGCCGTCCTCGGAACTGGTGGCGGCCATCTTGTCCTTGTCATAGTCTGTTGGGAGGATGTGGTCGACGGCGGCGCGCTCGGCGCCTTTGCCCGAACGGCTGATGAGGGTGAGGCACCACACGCCGGCGTGGTGGCCGAGCAGGGGACGGGCGTACAGCCCCGTTACTGCGCTGAAGACATTTATCTTGGGTTTGACCGTGCCGACGACGATCCGCTTGCTGTCGATGGCGAGGCTCGTGACAAAGAGTCCTGCGTCGCCCAGTACTCTCTGCATCTGAAGTCGACCGCCCTAGCGCGCCAATTAATATCCGGGTAGGCCATATTCAACTGGTTGCTGCAGCTGAAGCGCACCTTGGCGGAGCGATGGAGATGTGCTTGGACGACACTGGTTGATGTGGGTCACGATTGCGGTCAAGCGACGGCAGAGCGGTCGTGCACAGAGGAGCGAGAGAGATATGGGAATGAGGTGCCAAGGTCAAGCCCAGTGATTCCTGTCCGACGATTTCGGAGCTTCTGCGAGAAGATCTTGGTCCGAAACGCTTCGTAGGTTGTGAGAGCGTTGTGTGGATCGGCTGGAAGCAGCGTCAGTGGATGCGCTGGAGCCGCTTTCGAAGGCAATCGTTTCGGCGAGCGTCGCGTGAGCCCGCTATGAGTGGGCTGATCGCGTGCTCGGGTCCGGGAGAGGAGGCCAAGGCGGAGAGAAACTGGCGGGCGAGGTGTTACGGGGCTTGTAGGCGAGGAGGGGGACTGTTGCACGACTGGCTCATTGTTGACAGCAGCTTCGTCCTGCGTGAAGGGGCAATATCGTGATGATCAACGTTGACCTTGGCATCGCATCACCCTCAGCCCTCAGCCGGACCGCTCTGACAGGGCTGCCGAAAGGGAGTTCGTCGGCGTCGCAAGAGCGTCTGGGACTGGTGAAAAGGGAGGGTCAGGGCTGCAATCGCTGAATGCGGTCGAACTGGCCGGGTGCGGGCCGAATGGAGGCGCTGACGAGGTACATGGCGATGCACGAGAAGGACGGAGAAGGCTGCGCGAATGAGGGCGCTTGCGAGGGTCGACGATCGGCGGCGGTGGTGCCGGTCTAAATCCGAGCGCGGTCCGCTCCCAACGGCGACGGTCTTGTTCCGCCAGCCAAAAATGAGCCGGCTCCGTGACCTCACTTCATAATATTCGACCGACGGGTTTTTCGAAGAAAACCCTACCCTAGCGCATGGTTCGAATTTACTGTCGAGCCGATGCGAGAACATTGAAGCCGGCCGGCTGTCAAAGCATCTGCACCGGGTCTTGAGCGGTTCGTGGAAGGCAACTGTTTCGAAAACTATGCCTGAGCGGAAATTGCATATTGATTTATTCTCGCAAAAAAGCGAATTTCTAAATTGAACCGTGCGCTGTCACGTATTCTCGGGAAGCTGCAGGCATCCAAATACAGTGTCGAATGTTTCTTCAAAATCATTTGTGGGTATCCACCTTACCACCTACCGTACATCCTGTCAAGCAAGCCCCGACAATGAGTTCAAAAGCGTATCTTCAGCCTCATCAATTGGTATCTCGCAGTCGAAGACTCAGCATCAGCGACGGCCCCGTCCGTGCCACAGTGCTCAGTGCTGGTCGGATGCCCTGGCACGTCTTCGTGGAAAGCATGCTGCGATATGGTGTTGGTGCAGGTGAAGCATGCCTCGCCTTAGGCGGCTTCAAGATGCAGAGATTGGTTCTGGTCGTCTCATCTA